ATTTTTTGGTTGCAGCCATCATTGTTGTTTGGCGGGCCCCGGGTGGGGATTCGAACCCGCCACCTTAGGTGTATGTGGCTGGCGCCTTAGCCGCTTTAGCCAGAGGCGCCAAGCCCACAACATTATTTTCTTAAAGAGAGTCTGTTGAGGTATGATCACATCACTGGTTTTTGTTTTGTTTTGTTTTTGAGACATAGTCTTACTTTTTCACCCCCCCCCCCTGTAGTGTGCTGTGGTGTCATAGCTTACAGCAACCTCAGACTCCTTGGCTCAAGTGATTCTCTTGCCTCAGCCTACTGAGTAGCTGGGATCATAGGCACATGCAATAATGCCTGGCTATTTTTAGAGGTGGGGTCTTGCTCTAGGTCAGGCTGGTCTCAAACTCATTAGCTCAGGAGATCTGCCCACCTCGGTCTCCTAAAGTTCTGGGATTACAGGCGTGAACACACTGCTGGTCTTACTGGAAGAAGAGGAAGGGGCAATTGCTCTCCTAGATCTGGACGTCACAGGCAAATAAAGAAATTTCAATGATCTGGGGAGAGTTTACAGTGGTTGATGGTGGGTGGGGGAGGTTAGAGTGATCTTGAGCCTTCTTCAGTCAATCCATCATGTCAAAATGCCATATTTTGGGATAAAAATATTTCTAATTTCCTTCATAAGCAATGCTTACAAAACATTAAAAGAAATGGAAGTTGGATTGAGGATCCTGTAGGGGAGATAGAGCCTGGTTTTACATCTTTAGACTCCGGCTGTGCCACCAAATGGATTCTTCTCTTCTGCTTTTCTTCTAGGCAGCTCCCTGTTCTCATCCTGGCACCATAGGGTCTTAGCTATTTCTAAACCTTCCCCTTAGGCTTCTACATTTCTCTTTTCTTTTCCTTTATTTATTTATTTTTGAGGCAGAATCTTGGTCTGTCACCCACATTAGAGTGCAGAGGTGTCGTAGCTCACTGCAACCTCCAACTCCTGGGCTCAAGTGATCTTCTTGCCTCAGCCTTTTGAGTAGCTGGGACCACAGGTTCCTGCCATCACACCTGAATTTTAAAATTAATAGAGACAAGGTCTTCCAAAAGGAAGACCTCTTTTATTCAGAGCTCTGGGCTGGTCTTGAATTCCTGAACTCAAGAGATCCTCCCGCCTTGGCCTCCCAAAGTGCTAGGATTGCAGGTAAGAGACACTAGACTCTGCCTCTTTCTTTTCTTATGCAGAGCAATGTAATTTGGGTACAGAACTTCCAAATGTGCATATCCATACTCCTACATTATCTGTACCAGATATTTTACATTATCTGTAAAATTAGAAGTACCAGAGACCTGGAAATATGTTGTGACTTACTGTTCATTTGTTTTGTCTATTTCATGCTCACCTGAAAAAGCCCAGGTGGTCTCAAACATCAGTTAAATGGGTAGTAAACAAAACAAAGCCCCACTGGGATCTGTTTGTTTGGGAAGTCTGAGCATGGTGGAAAGGTCACTGTGTTATGCCCAGGAGTCTCTCAAAGACCACATTACCAGACAAGTTGAATTAAAGAGGAGTCCTTTTATTGAAGAGCCAGTCAGCAACTGCCTCAGTGTCCCAAATTGGGGTTTCTGAGAGATCCCCGACTTGTCTGAGGCTTTGACTTTTATAAGGCAAAATTTTTCCAAGGGGCAAGCAAGCATAATTATAGAGGTGAAAACAGCAGTTAGGGGAAAGCATGAGGGTAAGGCAGCTTAGTCAGTTTACAAAGCTATGACCACAAGAGCACTTAGTAATTCTTTTTTATAGAACAAATACAATCTACAATGTCCTAGGGTAGTGTAGGGAGGAGGACTCGCAGGTGGAGGTCATAAACAGCATGATCATAAAAAGCATTAAGGACATAATCATGAGTGCAGTCAGTAACTTACATCACTAACAATTTTAGTTGAATGTATTCACAGTTATACAATGGGAGGGCAAACAAGAGGAACCAGTTTTGAAAGTAATGGAATATAACAGAAAAGGAGTAAACAGTGAAGTGGAATCAAATTTGCTCTGTTAACATTTCTATATCATGGCTCAGTGCCCATAGCAAAGTGGTTATGGTGCCAGCCACATGCAGTGAGGGTGGCTGGTTCAAACCCAGCCCAGGCCAGCTAAACAACTGCAACAAAAAAATAGTTGGGCATTGTGGCGGGTGCCTGTGGTCCCAGCTACTTGGGAGGCTGAGGCAAGAGAATCTCTTAAGCCCAAGAGTTTGAGATTGCTGTGAGCTGTGATGCCACAGCACTCTAC